TTTGCTTGTACAGTAAAGTTATAAATAAAGCATTGCTTAGAAGTCCATTAAAAAATATTTAATTTTTCTCGCAATGATAATTTTCAATTAACATTAATTTGGTTAGTCATGCTCCATCAGCACATATCTAATAGGCGGCTTAAGTATTGTTTGCTTTGCAGCCCTGTTTTAACTGCACCGGTGCGATGACTTTTGCGTTTTCCTCTTGAACTTTGCCGTCGTGTCGATTTTGGTTTTTTTCTTGGCCGGTGCTGCCATTTACTATAAATTACTTTGTTTAGTTAGTTAAAAGGGCTAGTTGCTTTATATACATACCTAATCATGGGACTCTTGCGGTCAATACGTCTGAGAATCATGAATTTCATGATTTTCTTTCTAATTATTATTTTGTTCCCGGGTCTGCCCCCGCGGACAACTTTCCCCTATAAAGATTTCATGTAAGCTACTGCTCGCCTAATTTATATACATACATATTTAATAAATAATACTAACACATTCTTGCACAGTGTTGCCCCACCCAAAGAACTGAAGGGAGCCCTCGAGTCCAACTTTCACTTGGAGGGCGCTGAGCGTTTGCTGGAGGGCCGCATCTATGGACCGGAGTGCCTAATCGTGCGCAACAATGAGATCTACACTGGCCTACATGGTGGTGAGATCATCAAGCTGACATCCAACCATGTGACGCATGTAGCCAAATTCGGCGAGCCCTGCGGTAAGTACTCTGACTGCGTATTCAGGATACTCGCTAATATCAATAATCCCCTGTTAGCCGAAGTATTTGAGGAGGCGAAGTGTGGTCGCCCGCTGGGCATGGCATTCGATACCCAAGGCAATAATCTGATCGTCGCCGATGCCTACTATGGACTGTGGCAAGTTGATTTAACCACAAACAAGAAGAAACTGTTGGTGTCGCCGACTCAGGAGCTGCCTGGCAAGAGCATCAATCGGCGAGCCAGGGTCTTCAATTCAGTGACCGTTAGCAAGGAGGGTGAGATCTACTGGACCGATTCATCTTCAGACTTCACCATTCAAGATCTTATTTTTGCCTCATTGGCTAATCCATCTGGACGGTGAGTTCATTTAATATTTTAAACGAACGGTTGCTGCTCAAACCGGTTTCTGTTTGACCTAGCGCTCGCCTCACCCTTCGCCTTTCTCTAATGATTTCTCTTTACAGTCTATTCAAATACAATCGGGCCAAGAACGTCAGCGAAGTGCTGCTTGACGAACTGTTCTTTGCCAACGGTGTGGCGTTGAGCCCGAATGAAGATTTCATTGTGGTGGCTGAGACGGGAGCAATGCGTCTGACAAAGTATTACCTGAAGGGCCCCAAGAGCGGTCAAAGTGAAGTCTTTGTTGAGGGTCTGCCAGGCTTGCCCGATAATTTGACTCCCGACGCCGACGGCATTTGGGTGCCCCTTGTGTCCAGCGCTGACAGCGAGCATCCTCCCAGCTTCTCGCTCTTCTCGCGCTTCCCCACCATCCGTCTGTTCCTGGCCCGCATGCTTGCGCTCTTCGAGCTGCCCTTCCGTTACATCAACAGCGTGTACCCGAATAAGTTCTCGCAGCGTTTTGTGCACTTTGTCGGTCACGGCGAGATGGCCATGTTCTTGGCACCCAAGCGCACCACAGTGGTTCGTGTGGACTGGAATGGCAATATTGTGGGCTCGCTGCACGGATTCGATAAGTCCGTGGTGGGTGTTTCACATGTGCTCGAGTTCCAGGATCATTTATATCTGGGCTCGCCCTTCAATCACTATTTGGCCCGTGTCAAGTCCCCCAAGGCGGCCAAGCAGCCCACCGTCAAGGTGCGTAATGTGCGCGTCGAGGGCGGTCTGGAAGCGTCTGTTGGCGCTCCACCGACGACAGCCAAGCCCAAGCCAAAGGCAGCACCAAAGACTACCACGAGCACAACAACTACAACTACCACAACGCCAAAGCCCCAAACTACGACAACCAGAAAACCCACGACGACGACGACCACAACAACAACAACAACAACGACTACGACAACTGCCAAGCCAAAGACCACTACAGCCAAACCAGCCACCACAACAACAACAACAACAAAAGCAACAACAACAACGCCCAAGCCGGCAACAAAGAAAGAAACAAGTTCCACACCCAAACCAGAGACAACAAAGCGCTCAGTGCCAAAGAAGCCAGCGCCTGTGGAGGAGCAGATTCCCGTTGACACCAAGCCTCCGAAGAAGGAGAAGCTCAAGGTGATCAACAAGGAAGGCTCCCATGTGGAGCTCTAAAGGGCCAACAGAGCCTCGACACTCAATTCCCTTTCATTTCTTAGCCGAAACCCCAACAACAATACGTTGATGTCGTTCGCCCAGAAACACTCAGCCCTCGGGCGATTAATTATTTAGTTTGAAACTAGTTAGTTCAATTACAACTAGCTGCAAGCGTTAACAGAATGAAAACATAATTAGGGCAGCTATTTATATGTCGCACAACCTGCATATAATTGAGTTTTTGCTATTCTATATATTGCTATTCCGATTTCCAATAACGGCAACATTCCCTTTTTGTGTGAATCATTTGCATTCCAGTTAAATTGATGACGGACATTATAAATTATGCTCACAAATAATTCTAAACAATGCTCGAAATTGTTAAGCAATGGATAAAGACACCTTGATCTAAGTTATATATACATATATATGCGTATATATATATATATATACATATATATATATATAGATGAAATATAAAAATACTTTTTGATTTTGTACTGATATTCTCATTTGTGTGTATTTTTTGCACTTATAAAGTAAAATGTTTTTTAAAAACAATACGACTTAAATGTTAAATTAAATATATAAGTTATGTTCTATGTATAAATAATGAGAGTGAGCGAGCTGGCGAGCTAATTGTGCCTAGGACTGTGGACGACTTGGGGGCTCCTTTGGGTCCGTCCATCTCCATTCTGTGTAGTGCACACAGCGGCCGAGCTCCTCCGAGTACAGCTGCGACTTGGGGCAGCGTAGGAAGCGAGCGCGCGTGCCCTGCTTATCGCACATCCAGTAGGCGGTCGGATCCCAGAAGTTCCGGAACATGCGGTTCACCTCGTCCAGCCCCTGGCAGCCCGGCTCTCCATTGTGCTCGTAGTATTTGTACTTCTGGATGGGCAAGTGAGCAGTGGCCATATTTCTGCAAACAAATATGCGAAACGGAAGTGTTACAAATTTTTCTACTTGTCACGTTGCATATAATGCGTTAAGTATATGCTTTAAATATTTAGATGCCTGGGCGCATTAAATTTAGACACTTGGTGCTTTGTGCTTACCTCGGATTCGTATAGTCGTATAGTCGCTCAGCTTCCGTTGGCAAACAGATGTTTGGCGTATATATATATATATATATATATATATTTGCGGATTTCTCTCCTGCCTTGCGAGACGTTTACCGTTTCACAATTATTGCGATTCTGATTTGTCATACCGTATAATTCCTCATTTAAATACTTTTTCATGTGAGCGACAGGCGAAGAGCGGAATGGGGTCGGAATTTGTTAGTAATGTCTGGCTGACGGGGGCCGAACGTCTTGCCGAAACATCGCGTCGCTTCGCTTCGCGTCCAAACGTTTATCTATAAAGCTAACAAGAACACAAAAACAATTCGCTCGCAATTTCGCTCCTCGCACCCGGCGCGATCATAAACGATCGACGACTGGCGAGGCGGATGGATTGGTCATACGTTCGCTGGGACTGTGTCACGTGTTGTCTCCGTGTTCGGGGAATACGCCAAAGCGAGAGTTTGT